TTTTTTCCCAACAGTAAGAGGTGTGGATAAGGTTTGTAGGTGATAAAGTGAAGATTTTGTCATTAACCTATAGATTACGTATATCTCTTTACAGTAGATTTTGCCTACTGTAGAGCAAGATTTTTTCATTACAAATTCAATTTTAATTGCTAGCAGGATTTTTATCCACAATAAATGATTAATGAGGAGAATTAAATGATGTGTGTGGTTTCTGTTGTTAAATAAACTCACTTCTAAACAGTAAGTGGTATTCCCACTGTTGACTGCATCTCCCCTCACACTGTTAATGCTTCACTTGCTATATTGATTGAATAAAATAAAATAAATAAAGGCTTCTATTTTGTTTTTAATTGAGCAAAATCTTTATTTTTAATTGAGTAGAGTCTCTTGGTTGGAGACAGGAACTCTGTCTCTGATAACAGATAAATATTCACAGATGTTCCTCCCTGATCTCTGTCTAGCTACATCTGTTTACTATGGATCTATGTAAGAGAAATTTAAGAGTAGTAAGTTGGTTTGTGTAAATATTTAAAAATTGACGTCAGTTTACAGGGAGTTTTTAACAGGTCACTATACAGGGTAATAAGAAAACAAGCAAATGCACTTGTCTATTTAGTCAGGACAGGAAATATTTATTCAAAACCAATAAATAATGGAGTAACAGTTTTCTATGAACATTTTAATGTATAAACTCTCAGATTGTATATATAATCTTCCTACTTGTATTCACAAGTCCTCAGCTTCAACTCAAATGTGCACCTGAACTCTTCTCCCTATCTTTAAAGAATTCATGATGTATATACGTTTCCAAGATCTGTTTCTCAGATAAGTGTCTCCCACTCTGCAACTTCTTCTAATTGCAGTCCCTCTCAATCTTGTTGACAATCTATGTCAAGAGTTTTTAGTAAGCTGATCCTCTTTTGCTCTCTTTTTGGCTAACAAAGCTACATTATTAGCTACTCTACTCCTGTGCTCTGGCTTCTTCAAAATAAACTTCAAGTTTGCAGGAAGGTTTAAATCTGTGGAGCACCCTAAGATCTCCAAGTAGGAAGTGAGGCTCCAGAGGGTGTTTTGAAAATAGTCTTCAGCCCTTCCTACAAGTGGTTCAATTTTTATCAGACCAATCCAGGCCTGTGAGCTGTCATGAAAGAGTAGTTGGAAGAAGCATAGTAGAACAGCACATGCTCTTTTACAGAGAAAGAGGGGAAAAAACATCCATGTCTGCAGATGATCTGTGCTGAGCTAACTTGTATCTAAACTGGCGAGTCTTTGTATCAGCTCTATAGTGGACTGATGTAAGTAGATCCAGAGGAGTCTAAGATTGTTTTTATTTTCAGTCTTTGAATCAAAAGCAGTGAAAGGGGGCTTCTTTAGCTTAAATCTTAGAAGCTTGTGATTTGGAACTGAAATGTAATGAAATATACTTGAATTTTTCAAAATAGTAAAGCAGAAACTATACACTCTGATTAGGCAATATTTTTTCTTATGTCCCAGAAAGTATAGATTTTGATTGGCTAGGAATTGTACTTAATCTCCTATAAAATCCCAGTTGCGGATTTCCAGAGTCTTAAAACATGTTTTGTGTAACTAGGGCTGAAACTATAAATGAAAATACATATTGACTTGTGTGTTGAATACAGTAGGTTCTTTAATAACAGTGTTTTGGTGTGTGGATGTTTTTCCTTTCTAAAAGGGCATAAATGACTAAATAAAAAGATTTATAATCACAATAATTCTCCGCTTAAAATGCATCGCATATAAAACATTTTAAAGTATTAACTGCATTCTGTTGTAAACATTTTCCCACGTCACTTTCAGCATGTATCTATCTACAAAGTGTAAAAAAAGTGATATGCCATATGTAAAATTTTTCATGTCTTGAAAAAAAAAAAAAAAAAAAAAAAAAAAAAAAGTATATGGCCATTTTGAGTGCAGTTTTATTTTCCTTTCTCTGTCTTTCTGTGTTTTCTGTAATTAAATATAACTTCTGCCTGGCCTTTTTTTTTTGCCCCTCTCATTGTTGGATTTCAAGATAGCATTTACTGTGTTGAAGTAATTAATATATGTGTGAAAAATAAAGGCTTTTAAAGAATGGAAGAAAGGATATTTGTTGTTAAAATATAAATTTCTCCTGCCTTTTGTTCCATGACAATAGTTCATACTTGCAGTCTAGCAACCTAGCAAGCAATGCATCCTCAATTCAAACATTAACAGAATATTCTTTCTTACATAAACTATGGCATGTTGAGACAGATAAATAATTTATCTATTGAATATTTTTCATACGTAACTGGCATGTATGTCTTCAAAATGACTTCAGTAAATTATGTGTGATTGAGAAAAGGTATAGGTCTTGTTTGAGGACATTTGAACAATACAATCTTTGTCTTCCTGGGCTGGCAAAATCAATGCCACTTACATGAAGCATCAACAGGTGTGTGTATGTGTGGTCATATAGGAAAAGGCTGGTCTGACTTACAGTGTCCAGGAAAATGTTTAAGAGTGAGAAACATGCCTTGTTACTAAGCTTCCAAGACCCATCCTTTTCTAACGTCTAAAGCATAAAAAATAGATGAAAATGACTTGCTCTGAAAAGAAAAAATTAGTAAAATTAGGAGCCAGTGAAAAAATAAAAAGTGCACATTTTATTCACTATTTTCCTTAATTTCCTATATGTTTTCTATTTCAGGATGCTATGCAATGGTTTTGATCCTAAGCGATATTATGATACTACATTCTTCTTTCACTGTGCTATATGCTCTTGTATCTGCTTTCTCAGAAGGTGGGGAGGAGAGAATACCACGCATCAAATAGCCAGAAGCAGAGAAAATATTCCATATTTCACATTAAGTTTCCCAGAGCAAAACTATTGTCCTTCCAAAAATGCACCTTCTAAACATTCAACTCAATAAATTATATCTTAGATTACATTTGAGGGGGAAAGAAGGGCTGTGAAAACAATATCCAGTACAGACACTTCATGAAATTCTTAGCGATAAGAGGAGAAAATAATGCAAATAAAACCAAACTCTTAAGCAAGAACTGACTTAAACTGTCTTACAAAATTGGAAAAAGTATACAAATTATAGAGAAAAAATAAGAAATTTCAAGAAACAGGAGGAAATCTTTAGTGACCAAAAAACAAAGCATCAGATGTCAAAGCATCATTTTTATTAATACATATTTTGTGAATTCTAGAAATGTCACTAAAAACAAACAGAAAACTAATACACTCCTTAATTTTTGTATTTCTTAAATTATATCAGCTGCATTTTACAAACTTGTTTATGTTGCATGCATACAGTACAGAATAGTATTTAAAATGGCTTATGTTACAGGTTTTTTTTTTTTTTTTTTTTTTTTTTTTATGAGATGAAGAAAGTCTACGAAAAATAGTTGCCAATAGAAGTCTGTCAAACTGGTCTTACAGAATGGGAAAAAAACAAACAAACAAACACGTATGTTCTTCTTTTTGTTTTGTTTTGTTTTGTTTTGTTTTTTAGCATGGAATGGAGCACAGAAGGGAAGTACTCAAATAAATCAGATTATGGAGATATCAGGGTAACTTTGGTATTTTTAAGTGATAAAAATATGTTTTTAATTAGGCAGAGTAAATCACTAATTACATTCATTTTATTTCTACGAATCAAATTTCAAGCCAAAATCTGGAAGCAGGAAAAATGCCACGCACACATCACAAATATACAGTTTTTCCACATCAAGTAATGGACACTTCACAAATAAAGCCAACAGCACAATGAATTTGTCAAATCTTTACAAATAATAAGTGGATTTAGGGGTGGAGATTCTAAAAGAGCTCAGCATGTGTTTTTTTCTCTTAGGACACCAGGAAGAACACTTATTTATTTTTGGCTCTTCAAGGTGAATAGCAGTCCAGATATTTCATGTCTTTTATCCTGCATGAATTTAGACTGTGTCACAGAATTGTTCTTTCTGGTCTTGAAAGTCTATCAGACAGAACTTAAAGCTAAAATATCTGTATAATTTGCATACGAGGGGCCAACAACTTCTGTCCCCAAAGAACCCAATTTCTGTCAAAAGCTTGAATTATCTTGAGTCACACTGCACGAGATCTATCAGTGGAGTAGAACAGAAAGATTCAATCAGTTTCATTCTGAATGGCTGCCAATTCTTCACAGTTTTCAGTACATGAATTCAGCTCTTTTCTACCGCTTCTCCCATTCTTCCCTATTGCTATTGCTATCACAGTCAAAACAAACAATGAAATTTCCAGAATGTATCTATTTATCTATTCTGAGTGAAAATTACTGAATTTTTTCTTACTGAACAAAAATTATGTTACAGCCTGGATTGTCAAAATAATAATAAGAAAAGGAGACTTAGAAATCATCAAAGATGATGAAAAGGTGGAAGATGGCGGGAGGGAAAGAAGGTAGGAAGAGAGAAGTCACAGCAGAAACTGTCTCTCAAAATAGTAAATATTATGAATTTAATTTTAACTGCTTTACACTGATGTTTTGCTCATACATACTCATACATACTCATTCATTAGTACAAAAATTAAGTCTTCAAACAGAGAAAAAATGAATAACTTCACATACCAGTTGAAAAGGAAAAGAACCTTCATGAACTTCAGAGTCATACTGTTCACTGTCGTTATCAAACACGTCAGGAAAATGTGATAAAGAAAAACTGAGATAATGAAGTGAAAAATGGTGATACCAGACTAGGTCAACAACTACAAAGCCTGTGAATATTCTGAGTTAAATTCTGGAGTCTTTATATATACTGAGGTGTACTTCAGGCTGCGACTGACTAATCAGTTGATTTTTTCAAGAATATTCAGTGCACAACTAAGAAAATTGAGCTTTTTCAGCAGAACTAAACCTAGAAATGCACTTCCTCTGTTCTACTCCAGCAGTCTGCATCCCATGCTAAGTCACTGACAACAGCAGTGAATAAGCTCCGTGCTAAGAGTAAAGTTCCTTTTTCTCTTCCTGTCAGTTTCAGTCTTAACATAAGACTTTCTTCAGCCAAAACTAACCCTAGATTTTGATATGCAGCACACTGCTTATAGGCGGTATGCCTGAGTCATAGAGCTAGGAAAGTATGAGCTATTTAAAAGCTCTATATGTGCATTTCTAGTAGGTTTTATGTTTAAATCTATTACTTTGATTTTATTTGATTTCTTTTTCCCCATTTAGGTGATTGTCTCAGTGTACTCTTATGTGACACAACATTGCCACTTCTACTTTCCAACTCTTTCTACGAAACATTTTAAAAATTTCTACTTCAACATAATTTCCTTTACTTCATTTCAGCTTCATTTACCTTTAAGGCTGTGGGTCACCAGGTATAGTCAGGAGTTAAAAATAATAGGAGTTCTCTTTAATAAGCCATGATGTTGCCAATAAGAGTTGGAGAAAAACCGTGACAAAGTCTGGTGAACCTAAAACTTCACTTGCCCTAATAAAGACATCCACTTTTCCAATTAGAGCCTGGGCCTGAATTTTGGCCAAAGAGGAATATATTGAAGATTGCATAGTAAATAAAGGGATTAGATCTTGATGTAGTTATGACCATAATGCTTGCAACGAGAAACTTTAGAGGAGCACATCTATTTCTTTCTGTGGTAAAACTCCTACTGTAAAATTAAATTCATTTTCCACTTTAAATCTTATGCATATTTTATATCAGAGAAGAAAAGCTACTGTCACCTACCAGCTAACCCAGTTTGTGCAGTGCATTCTCTGAAAATAATTTTACATTTAGATCAATAGGGTATTGTGCATTGGTTTGAGTGACAATGCTTCTTCTTTACAAAACACATAGGCTGCTCTCAGTGTCTGCTTTGTGCATCATTGTGCATGAGGTCCTAAGATACCATGTTTTACAAGCAGATGTTCTTTAGATAGCTAAAGAGTGTTTTTTATAGACTATGCAGCTGAAATAAAGATGGCAGTTACAAGATCTGATTGAGTCTAACAAGGGTACTGTTACAAATGTGAACCCCTCAGGAATTTTGTCAGTTTTGAACACAAAAGATTGTCTGACTTTAGGAAAACTATATTTTGCTTGCATGCTGCAGAATAAAAACACCTTTTATGCATGGTCTGTGCATCAGAGCTGAGGGACTGTTGGTGGCACTTCTCCCTACCTTCATTTTCAGTTCTGTTCTGAGGTGATGGCGGTCTCAGAATAGAACTGGATAACAAAGGTAGTGCAGAAATAATGAGCATATAGAATAACCAAACCTTTGTCAATGAGAGCCAGTGGTACAGTCTGGTGATTAAACACCACCACAGAACATATAAAAAAATATGATTTTGGAATATGTGGGTTGTTGAGAGAAAGATATTTCACAGGAATAGGCTAATTTCCCAAATACTTTCAATAGACAATAATAATAATAGTAAGACAAAAATGTTAGCATTTTCACTTTGTTTCAGTACTGTTAATGCTAAACAACATTGGTGTAGTTCTATTTTCTGTATGGTGCAAATATCTTTTTCCACATAAACTATCATCATTCCTCTTATTCAGACAAACATCGCTCACTAAGCATTTATTCAAATACACATCATACTCCTGCATTTTATTACATCAGTATTGACACAAAGATGTTCTGCTTTGTGGAAAAGTAGGTTTGTAGATGAATATACACAAGCACATGTACGAACACACATACACACACACACACACACGATTTTGTGGAAAATTCAGAATTTTTTTGTTGTTTTCAGTTGATCTAGAATGAAAACACATTAACAATCTGAGCTTCCTCTAGAATAGAAATACATTCTGTGTATTTTTTCAATTCCTTATGTTAAAAGACCACAGTAAGAAATGAGGAAGTCTGTTTATGAAAACTTATGTCTGAAATTTACAGCAATTTGGGAATGAACACAGAAGTCTGGTGGATATTCTGACCTTTTTTTTTTAGTTGTATTTTATTTCAAATAACACCCTCTGTATCTTCATAGTTGAATAACAAAATGTAAATAGTTTAATATTTACCCTGATGCCAGTGAATGAAAAATACTGTATTAAGAGATAAAGCCTCTCACTGGCTCTTAAATGAAGGTAAATTAAATAGGTAAACTTGCTTCTTTTCCTATTTTCACAGAAACACCAAGGTTAGAAAAGACCAACAAGATCATCCAGTCCAACCATCCACCTATCACCAATAGTTGTCACTAAACCATATCCCTCAACACAAAATCCAAACCATTCCTTGAGCACCTTTTTTACTTGGAAAATAAAATTTAATATTTTATATAATTTATTTTGAAAGGCACCTATTAATTTGCTTGAATGTAGAGAACAGGTACACTAAAGTTGAAGTTGTTTGCCAGAACACTGTTGATCTTCAATTCATATACTGCATAACAAAATTTCTTTTACCTGAATACAAATCAGAGAAAATGACAAGCTGTTTCACATGCATCTTTTTTTATAAAGATTTTTAAAGATCTTTAAAAGACAACCAGGAAAAAATGCAAACATGCTAACTACTGATACAAATATGTTTCTTTTAGTATGGAGAAATTACTACAGAGGAGATGGCATCAGTGCCTCGCCATCACTTTTCTAACATTTAGAAGTTACACATAGATAGAGAAGAAATTTGTAATGTTCTCATCTGTCAAAACAAACTAAGCTTCTGCAGTGAATAGATATTGAGCAAAACCCAGATTCACCGGTCCTAACTTTCTGATGGTTAGCCATCCAGTCAGTGAGGATCATTGTAGTTGTTAACTTCAGTGTTTTGAAATATCCTCAAATTCATCATCTGAGTTAGAATTCAGTCTTAGATTTACTTAACATTGCAAAGAAACCTTATTTTGAAATTCAAACATACCTTCAGGAAACCTTAAAGGAATAGAAAATTAAATAACTCATTGCAGAAATAAGAGCCTGTTAGAAGTATTTAAAATTAAAGAGTAAAGGGTATTTCATTTACTCAGGCAACCTATTAAAATCTTCAATTGAGGAGAAATGATTATAATAAAACAATAAATAAAAAACAAATAATCTTTAAAGAGTCTGAGTATCTCTTCTAGAAGACCTACACTTGGTTTCAAAAAAGTCGCAGTGGGCAGGGACCTGATTTAAAGTTCTACAGTCCACTCTAAAAATATATCTGCATTTATGGACCAAGTGACCTGCCAAGGCTGGAAAGTCTTTGTGCTCAACTCTGCTCTTCAGCACTGTTAAAGTGATGGTAATCTATATAAATCAGATCATCATGACATTATTCAGAAGATTGATACTGCTGGCTAGCTGTCTACCAAGGAGGCCAAGACTAATTTTTTTTTATTTATTTTTTTTTTAAATATATATCCTTTGTATCCTCCAATTACCATCCTTGCTTTTTCTGCCCACAAATCTCCATTATTGTTCAGAAAAGACAATATGAATGGGCCCAGAGGATCTCCAACCAGCTTATTATAGCTGCTAAAAATTCCTGGCAGACTAGGTGAGTTTACAAGGCTGATATGCAGAGAAATAGTGTGCCATTTGCCACAGTAGATGTGAAGCATGTTATCACATGAGTAGCTGGAGATTAGAGAGCAACACGACAGCTTCTTGCACATACCTTTTACCACATCACCTTCCAGTTTAGCAATTATCAGCAAAGTGCCTGTGACAAAATCTTCTGTTTTCCCAGAGCTGCTGTAAGCATCAAATGTCTGCCTAAAGATCTGTGTATACATTGCAAGATGGTCTATAGTGGTAGCTCACTTCTATAAGCTTAGCATTCAGTTTTTACACCATATAACCCAATATTCACAAGACTTCAATATTTTAACCAAAGTCTGTTTATTTTCCTTTTGTTTCCTGTTTTTTTTTTTTTTTTTTTATAGTCTCACAATAGTAAGTTTTGAGAAATCCATTGAACACGAGTTATATGGTGCTTACCAGAGTATGAGGACCATAATTCCTCTAAGATTCAAATTTCAGGAGCCGTCTGATTATTACCAAATATTATTGCTGACATTTAGAGACTAAAGTGGAATTTCTCAAGCACTGTTAACACCAGAAATGACCAGAAATGCTTAGTCAATTACCAAGATTTACAATATTTTTTCAGTTTAAAATCAAATACGTCTTTTATATTCTCCAAATTTGTAGTTGTTCTTTACCTTTTTTAAGTCTATTAATCGTGATTCTTGATCAACTAGAAAAAAAACCACAAATATAAAGATGGGATATTGAACTCTGATTCCACTGAAGGCAAGACAGATCTATGACTTTTACCTGATTTTCCATGTCAGATCAGCCAGGAATGTCTGATGTAGAATGGAAGACTGGCTCCATCTGGCTCTTTCCAGGACAATACGAGATCGGTACCATTTTGAAAAAACCTTAGTCTTAGACCTTGAGATTTGAGACTCAGTAGTAGAAGATAATCTTCAAGAACTTTTGAATAATGGAATTAGTTTACAGCCATCAGCTACTGCTAGTGATGGGCTTGAAGTACTCATAGAAGCTGCAGTATATTTCACTGACTGTTCAACAGACAGACCAAAACCAAATCATGGGTACAGGATCAAAACTGATGAATAAACAGTAAAAAAAAATTCATTACCTTCCAGCACCTTTGAAGCAATGAACCTTGTCAATCCTTTCTGGTAGAATTTACACAAGTATGTATTTTGCCTATGTGGAGCATGTTCATCTCAGTCTAGCTGACAAGATGTAAATATTGCACAGTTATAAATTCACTTTCTATATGTTTCCTTACTTTATCTCCTCTTTCTTCAAATCTATTTTTTTTTTATTATCAGTGGACTAGTATGTTCTTATTTTAGGTCTGTGAACATGGCAGATCTTGGAAGGAAAATAATAGCTTTAATTTTTTTCAACTGCTGTACTCCTAGATTTTCTAGGGGAAATCTATAATTTCTCAGTGATTTTTTTGGAAAAACAAAACAAAACAAACAAAACAAACAAAACAAAACAAACAAAGAAAGGGCTTTCAGCATTAAAATTCACTTCCACAGAAGAAATAGCTGATTTGAACAGTATACACAATATGTATGACAATTTTCTTCTTCAAAAAGCCTATCTGGTAGTGCAGCTTGATTTTATGTACTTAGTCCAGAGAAAGAGTTATTCTTGTACATCAGTCTCAAGAAACCTTCTCAGGTGGTAATTATGAGACAGACCACAGTAGGTATCATTTTCAGCACACCAAAAATCTTTATCTAGCTGTATGATGAATGTGACACTACACTGTAAGAGGCTGTACTTGCTGCTGTTTTCCTAAGAGAAACAGCTCTTGTTTTTTTTTTGTCTTTCCAGAATCTTTAATTGTATCAGATCTAAAATATGTATTCTCATCTGAAGTATCACAATGCTTTCATTGCTTTATGAAGTATCTGTGACAACTCAATAAAATAGCGTGCAGTACTTGCTAGAAAGTTCCTTATATTTGATATAATTGGATTATATTTTGCTATCTAAATTTCAGGCATTTTACCTAACCATCTATATAGTTGTTATGCTATGTTATATATTCTTCTTATACAAATACATTATACATTAACAATATACATTAACATTATACATAATGTATAATGTGTCTTTATTCTGATGCATGTAATGCCATCTCAGGGAGAATCACAGGATATTGGACTCAGAGTTTTTCCACCTTTCATTTGTATTCCTTTGCTGATTGGTATGCAACAACTGCATTTGAAAAGTTGTTCTTTCCTCCACTGATATCGCAGAAGTGTTACACAACTGAAACAAGATGACACTGTGATGCATTCATTAAATCACTTACAAATTAGTTTTATGGCATTATACATACTTAAGTTCATCATTACAATAGCTTGTTAGTAGTTTTTTTTGTTTGTTTGTTTTAAATAAAGGATTGTCAGGGTGGTGCAGCACTGGTATTTCTTCAAGTTGTTTTACAGGGATCTTTTTCTCTTTGAACGAGTGTTCTGCTCACAGATTTTCAGCTATTTACTTTTACTCAGATGATTTTATATGCTATGTGAGGTCAAGTCTCAATGTAACTATCTGCCAACACATCTAACAATTTGCACAGGTCTCTAACATCAGGAAAAGAATAAATGAAATGCAGGTTTGCCCTTCACGTTTACTTTCATTTGTTATTGCTGCACTCTGTTCAGTAATTAAAAGATAATGTTGCAGTGCTATCAAAGAATTTGAGAGATAAGCAGCAGAAATGCAAAATATACAGTCTGATCAAAAAGACATACTACATTAGATTATTTGAGAATAGAAAATACTCTGCTTTATATTTCAGAATGATTCCCTGAATCATCCAGAGACTCTCTGACTAGTAAGCCACAAACATATTTAGAAGCTAATAAGTTTGTTATAATAATATTTAAAAGTAGAATAACGAAACAAGATGAAAACAGTTATATGAGAAAGGCTACCCAGACTGAGATCTGCAAAGGTAAATTCTCTCTAACGAATTAGAATTTTTTCTAAGTGTAAAAGTGAAAATGTGATCCTGGTGACAGTTTATTTAGCCCTTCAAAGATACATTAACAAGGTCTCTAAAAAAGGAAGTAAACAAATTAAGCTTATTAAGCTGTTATTGTTTGAGAGAGCTATACAGTCATGTATATGAATGTAGTAAGGAGAAAGAAAAGGAGGAAAAAAGTAGTCAATTTTCATCAGTACAGAGGATTAAAAGCAAGGTGTCTCAGGTTTTCATACAAGCTATTTTTTTGTTCACAATGTATCAGTGAATTAGAAGAGGGTTAAGCAACAAGAAATCAAGTGCACATAAAGAAAAGAAGTTAAAAAAAAAAAAAAAGTACACTACTGACTTCATCAGAACCAAAAACTTTCTGAATGGAGAACGAAGTTTGGTACTAAAGAATTTAACAAAATGATACTTTCCAATGAAAAGAAATATTTATATACCAAGAGAGATTTTATATCCTGTATATGACTTACCAGCCAGATGTTGAGGTCTTGCTACTCACTGATTTCTTTGTAGTTATGACTAGAAAAAGGCAGTAGATGTATGCATAAATGCTGGGAAATGAAATACAAGCAGAATCTCCTGCATAGGCAATGCCACACACTCACCTGGAATAGTCTCCATGGAAATAGCTAATCCCACCTCAAAATGGTGACACAAAATTAGAGAAAATCTGACAGTATTTCCTTGTCTTGTGCCTCTGAAGAAAGGCTAAAAGTTAAGCTATGAAACTTCAGAAATACAGGGAAACTTCAGTTTCAGGGAAAGATCTATAAAATAATGAGTATTTTTAGAGAAGACTGTATAATCATAAGATTGATCATAATGATCATATAATCATTAAGATTGAAAATGACCATGAAAATTATCATACCATGTTTCTCCACTAAACCATATCCCTCAGTGCTACAGCTCCACTTTTCTTGAACACCTCCAGGGATGGTGACTCCACAGTCTCTCTGGGCAACCTGTTCCAATGCCTCATCAGCCTTTCCAATAAAATTTTCTTAATATCTAACCTCAGCCTCCCCATTGCAACAAGAAGCTATTACCTCTTGTCCTGTGCTAGCTACGTGGTAAAAGAGGCTGACCTCCACTTCACCACAACCTTCTTTCAGGTAGTTGTAGAGAGAAACAAAGTCTCCTTAAGACTCCTCCAGACTAAACAAACTCAGTTCCCAGTCCCCTTACCACGGTTATTACCCTTCTCTGGATATGCTCTGCTCCAGGGCCTCATTGTTTTTCCTGTAGTGTGGGGTCCAAAACCAAATATAATACTTGAGATGCAGCCTCGCTCGTACCAAGTACAAGGGAACAATCACTTCCCTACTCCTGCTGGCTGCACTATTTCTGATGCAAGCCAGGATACTGGTGGCCTTCTTGGTACCTAGGTACGTTGCTGGCTTTTCTGATCTCTGTTGGATATCCTACAACTAGAAGCCAGCAGAAAAAGTGAAAGCCCTCAATTTCTCTATATAGTGCTTGATTTTGATACCCATTATAACACTGAAGTGGAATTGTGAGGTCATAGCCTGAATCAATGGTTGACCACCAGGTGAGAAGGTGTAGCTAACTTATGGAGCTCAGGTGAAAGTAATGCACCAGAGTGACCAGAACCCTCACTTAAAGGTTAGCAGCTGAGGGAACAGTATCTCTCTAAATGGAGATTGCATTCCTCTTGAGCTGTTGTTGGCAATCAAAGGATGTGAGCTAATTTTCTTTCTTTGTTACGGCTGTTGCTCCATAGTACTTGTATTCCATTAGAAGGCTATATCATCATCTTCTTTTGCCATGCAAACATTTTTCATGAGTTTAAGAAATTAAGATTCAGAGAATGATCTTTTTAAAGGAAGCTAATATTTTCCCTTATATATTTATAGAGCAGAAAAATATTTTTTGAAGATCTTCACAGAGTATATCTGTGCCAAATATATATATACTTTCTAAGGGCAGACTAGCCCTCTGAAAACAGTGTAGGTATTTCTCACCTATATGTAAAAGCATGCATACTTTAGGAGATCTACTGCGCGAGGTAATTAAAATGCAGGTGTAAATAAGCTGACTTTGATATCTATTGATGCTAACAGAAGCATAAGTGCTATAATTGTAATCAAATCCTTTAAGAAAATCTTTCACTTTTTGGACTTATAGAGTGGAAAATATCTAACCAGCTTCTTTGAACTTTTTGGCTTCTTCCTGTGCAAGATATATTACTGTTGGCTACCTAGTAAACAAGACTGT